TAAAGCTCTCCGTTTAGTTTCCTCTTCCCACTCTACGGCGGTGCTCCTTCCACGCGAAATAACGAGATTCGTTCGAACAGCCCGCAGCAGCTGCAACTACGGCTGCAACTGCACTCCAGTCGGTCATACCTATAACGAGCATGCGGCAAGACGACGGTCGCCAGCCAATTTGTCGCACACAGACGATCCACCCTCGCGCTGAGTCATCCCTCCAACCCTTTCCTCGAATTAACCGAATCTTCGAGAGTTTTTATCGCTGAAACGCCCTCGGTGGTAACAGAGAAGCCAAACATCCGCCAGACATAAAATGCACCCCACGAATATTATCGAATCTCTTGACTCTTGACACTGTGCAATCTATTACACACAATTTACTAATAATCGAAATCATCAAACAAAATGTTTTACGTCCAATCAGTCGCAAAAGCGCATCGAGCTTTCATGGCACGCGTCTCCGACACGGTCGATGCATTCGAATACATCGTTCGCGATCGATCGTGAAACTCAAACAGTGGCGCGAGATCTCTTCCCGGATACTTGACATTCGAATCGAACTCTCGAGAAGTTCGCTCGCTCCCGCGATTCTCCGACCGGTTCCGCTAACTTCTGTTTGAATAATTAGACGAATAAGACCAGTTACAGGCACACTGGTAGAACGCGAAATTAATGGAACGTTAACGAGCGTTTCACAGTCGCGAGCGATTCGTCGAATACCCCGTCTCCGTTCCGCGCAACTTTTCCTCGCCCTTTTCTTGCCAACGATAGCCGCGTAAACTCTATCGTAAAGTTTTCCGATTGTTCCTCCGCGTCGAAACTTTCGAGCTCCCTGTCCCTTCTTCTCCTTCGTGCTTCTTTCGAACCGAGTAACGAGATACATCCTGCGAGGGCGCAACTACAGCCAAAACAGCCTGAAAACTTTTTCGACTCTCGAATGCATGCACGGTCCGATAAATAACTGACGCCGCGCGGGGAAATTCTTCGAGAACGACGGTCAATGTATCCTCGACTTCTCACGACCCCCGCAGGAATTTTACGAAAATATTTTCAAAGAAGTTCACGGAACGTCTGTGCCGGCTCTTCAATCTGTCGGTCGTATAAGTCCTCTTGGTCGTTTTCGAAGACGTTCGTGGCACTCAAATGTTTGTGTAAGGAACATTCAATTATCTCCATAAAGTTTCCTCAACATTCCAAGCGTTTATGTGGCCGTTTCCACGAGTTTACCCCGGTCACTACGGTCGAACTGATCGCGCGGTTCTATTACTGTCGAGACGCAGTGGATATTTGCACCACGAATTTATGGCACATCGGCACTAGGTATCATGCTACAAAAATTTGCAATTTATCATCTGCTGCTTTATTAAGTTTTACAAACTTGAGTCTTTAATTTCAAATCGATCGAAGTCAATTACAAATTATTAATTCTATCCATAGGGCAGAGAAGAAATTTACTTTCATTTTAAATTTTAAACGCACGGTAAACTTGAATTAGAACGAAATTTCCCCGCCCTGCTTCGAGCCACCCTTTCGCTGATTCATCCGAACTTCCGTCGAATTCCTGGACAATTATGTGCCCGGGTAGGAAAAATTAACGAGGTCTTTTCGTTCTTGTATCCCGCTGGAAACGACCATCGACAAGAATTCCGATCGCGAAAATTCTGGCCGGTCGACGAGCTCGCAAAAAGACGATCGGGGAAGATTCTTGATCGTTCAAGCAGCAGACATGGCGAGGCAGAAAACTGATTAACCTTTTGTTCGTAACGACTGGGAGTACGCGGGGTCGCGACAAACGTCGAATTAACCGAAAGAAAAACCGTCAAAGGGACGCGGAAACGAGTCTCGTCCGGGCATTTCGATCGGCTAATTAACTCTGCTGTCGATGACGCCATTGTTTCCCCGAGGCTCGCGCAAAAAATGCGTTGGACAAAGATTCTCGAATGAATTTACCATCGATACTTGCTTTTAAAGATTGCTAGAAAACTTCTCCAACCCCCTTACGCTTTAACGGGAGGGCGCAGTTTTTCTAGGGCTATTCGCGGTTAATCCCGAGACTAAGTTTTTAATCGCATCGCGTAATCGATTAATTAGTCAATCAATGCTCAACTCCGACTCGGCGATTTTCCTGTGCAAACTTAGCCGATTAACGCAATTACTCCAACCCGTTCTTCCTCGTCGTAACATCCTCCCAACGACTTTTGTTTCGCGTTGAACGCCGCTGTTAACTGGATTTATTTTATCGAAAAAAAATATTCAGAGCTTGGAATAAATTCGCAAAAAATGGTCACTGTTCGAGTCAAATGACAGCTACCCCCTCAACCCTCTGACTCGTTACGAAATTTAAACAAAATTGAACAGCGTACGTTTAAAAAAATTTTGGCCCAAACATGAGTATCACGAGCCAGACTCGCGAACAGAGTTTCAGTTCCTATCAGTACGCCACGAGAGTTGGTCACGATTCTTATAATCTCTGTGACAAAGCAGTTTAGCATCAGTCTGGTCTGTTTACCGCGCGTTGACGCCTAAGGGGTTAAATCGTGCATCGATGAGTTGATACTAGTCTCGAATCGAAGTCGAGTACGGTGTTAGATTGGTCCCTATCGCAGAACGTTAGAGTGGGCGGCAGCGAGTTATGGGAATAATTTAGAACCTAGGTGACGTTGGATTTAGGCAAGCACGAGGTCGTTCGACGATTACGGAGTCGCGTTGCGCGTCTTTCGAGCGGAGCGCGGTCTGTGTCCCTTTGACCGAAAGAAGCTCGAGTTCTCGAAGCACAGGGCTTAAAGTTCGCGGTTGAATCAATACCGGGTGCAGGAGCGAGATAGGTAGACGCAGAAGAGATAGGAGTGTCAAGGATAGAAGAAAAGGAAGGAAGGAAGGAAGGAAGGGACAAAGGAGGCCAAGGAGATTCGACTTAGGCACCCTAGCACACACACACACGTTCCTCGGGACTCTTCTCTATGTAGACGACCCGTGTATCCGTCGCGTGTATATACCGATAGCATGTCGATAAGTACACGGTGAGCTTCTTGGCATCGTTTCACGATTATCGGGACAGAGTTCTTAACAATATGACCGTCGTCGCGTCGGCATGGATGCGTTCTGTCGGTTTCTGTACAACGTTCTTCTAGCCACTGTCGTCTTGTTCAGGATCATCAGTGAGTAGAGCACATAAAAATAATCTGGGTGTACTCTGTCACGCGCTTGAACTTCATTCTACCGCTTTTCAACTTTCAACCTCTTACGATCGATCGTTCAACGTTTTAATCCACTTTGCTCCGAAACGAAGAAGAGAAAGAGAGAGCCTGTCCCGAGGATCTTTCCGTCGTCTCGTTTCGTATTTACCGCCCAGACCTTTTATTTTCGTTGATTTATTTTCGCAGTACTGTGCCGGGGAAATAAACAGGCTGGCAAGAAAAAGGGTCCGAGACAGGGTCGGGGAGACCTTATTTCCCCGTGACTCTCGACACCGGGGCCTTTTGACTTGCTAATATTAAAAGTCACGTTGATCGAGTTACGGTCTTTGAAACATTTTTTCCAAGTCTTGGATCCTTTTTTTTCTATTAATCTGTACGTACATACGAGCGCACACTTTTTCAAGAACGACACCGGGCAAGAGGTATCGATCGGCCATGGTTATTTCGCGCAGCCTCCTGTCACTTTTTTCCACCCCTCCGTACAACGCGAACCTTTCTACGGCTGCTCGTAAAAACGGCTAAATGGCCACAGGTACTGCCGTTTCACGCTTCCATCGACGTCGTTGACTACACCTATCCCGGGCCGTTACGACCGGCGAACCTTGACCTCTGCTTCTTGCGTTCTACCGATCTTCTTGTACCTGACGTCTTCCAGCACGCGCGGTTACCGCATGATACACAAATAGCAGTAGCGAAGAACCTTTCCATCGAACGAACCGACGTGCCCCGACGATGTACCTTCGGCCAAACTGGTCCAAGAATAAAAACTTGGAAGGGAAGAGAACGCGAAGTAACGGGACAAATTAATTTCAGTGCAACCGCCTGGTAATAAAAACCGTGCAACAGGGTGGAAATTGCACGGGCTTCAGGAATAAAACACCCTGCGGGCGTTTTCTGCGGTGTTTTGCTTGCTCTTACATATTCATGAGGGCAACGAGCCCTATTTGATACAATTTTCACTAAATATTTCTGAAACGAGTAAGCGAAAAAACGGTTGGAACTGACGTATAATATTTTACATGTATCTTCACCCTGGAGCACTGGAAATTTTTGAATTATTGTGTATTTAAAATAGTATTTGGGTTTTGCACTCGTAATTCCAGAAACTGGAACATAGTTCTTTTCTAAGGGAAGATACAAACACAGACTATTTTACGATTTGTTTTTTTTTTTAAACGTTGAATTCATTTAATATTTTATATTTTACATTGAGAAATTAATTTATTCCCAGTGGGGGAATTACCTCGCTTCGTCCAGGAATTACACCATGAACGTTTGAACGTTTTATTATACGCTGTTTTGCATTTTTGCAAGTCACGTGCCGGGTACATGCAATTAATTTTCGTTTTAACTTGCGTGACACTGATTAAACCATATGGCTGAAATATATTCTGTGTTTTTAAAATCGAGTGGATTAAATACGACAGTGAGATCCATTTTATATGCATTCTTGCATAGATAATATCTATACGAATCAATGTCTCTAGAGAATTTCGTGAATTCAAAAAATCAATATCGCAAAATCTTCTCCTGGAAAAGAGCCGTATCCCCAGTTTCCAGAACCACCCTGTAGAATCTCGCTAAGGTTACGTCGATTCGTTCAGCGGAATACTTGCTCTCGACGGTTGTATCCAAGTAGAAACGTCCTTTGAAGGGCGTTACGTACGTTTGTACGCAATTGCATCCTCGCTCTGATTACCAGCGAATGCTCTGTCGCGTGATCCGGGAATGTACGACTACGAATGTACTTTCGCGATGCATCGCCGGTTCGCAGACGCTCTGAATCGTGTGTTTCGTGGAATTTTCCAGAGAACGGTCTGCTCTCGTTCGAGAATCCCAATTACCACTTAGATCCTGCTCGACTGGACGACGCGTTGAACAGCAACGGGAATGGCAGTTCCCTCTACGACGAGCTGTACCAGGAATTGGTCGGCAGCGGCGACAGGAGCGGCGAAGTGACCGGCGGTGGTGGCGGTGGAGGCGGCGGAGGAGGCACGAGGGTGCAGGCACGCAGAACGTACGCCACGTTGGATCTGGGCAGCATGGGGGTTGACGTCACTCAAGGTCCCCTCACCCAGGACTCCGTCACAGAGGACGCGCCGGACAATACGGACAACCATAACCTAGGGTGAGTACCGTTCGTTTCCACGCAGGGCGTTAAACCGATCACGTTCTTGGCCTCTGGCTGAGCCGCAATGGACGACGTGACTGTGGGCTTCGATTCTTAGACCCGTGAGCTGGCAATCTTTCCTTCGACTATTGAGTTTCTCCGATGCATTCGGTGACCGTCTCCGACGACCCGGGATCGAGCCTGGAATTTAATAGGATCGGGAAAATTGCGCGTCCGCGTGAAATAAAAACGTCTAAACAGTCCGAAAGAAACTCGATCAGAACCGGGCCACGCTGGATCTAATATCCAGCGGGCGCGAACCGATATATTCGCGATCTATATTCGCCATTTTCCACGGGATATTTGTATGCGTTCGGTTTTAAACATGAGCCGGTCTTCGCGATGATCTTCCGTACCGAGTTTCCTTTATCCCGAGGTATACCGTGGCGGTAGCAGGACTCGCGTGGAAGCAGAATAAACGAGAAATCGGCTACGTGGAGCGAAATCGAAGAGCTCCTCCCCGGTAATATAAGGTCCGGCCACCCAGAGCCCGTTGATAAAACTTCCAAGTTGGACCTCATCGGGATACCGCATAAAATTTCAATAAATCCGGACCCGCGAAAGAGGGCTCGGACGGAAGGAACGAATGGCCGATGCTACAAGCCAGTTCCAACTTATTTCCGGCTGTTACACGGCCCCCGGTTCGGTATTTGTTCGACCGGTCCGAAATCCTCCTCTTCTGGTACCTACACTCTCATCGTGCGCCCTTTGTCTTTCGAACCTGTTATCGAGCTCCGTCGACAGCTACCAGCCGCCTTAACGCGGCCATTTATAAGTTTCCAGCACTCGCCGCGCAATGGTCGACCATATTATCCTCGCACTTTCCTTTCAGTTTACTCAAGTTTCGTTTAATTAACTCCGTGTCTTGGAACTTTTTCGTTAAATAGCTGCAATTCATTCTCGAATCGAAAATCAAGATTCAATGTAACCGAATCCACACACGATTGTTCAAACTTTCAAAAGTACAACCACTGGCTGAAAGTTTCTAATGATACTCGTCAATACAAATTTTACGAAAAATTGCCTTAAATGTGAGAGAGTTTTGTACGAAGTAATTAACTACAAAATAACACAAACTAACATTTATTTTCAGTCAAGGTAGAAGGAATACAAAACGTCGTATGGGGTAAAGACCTCGCGGTAACAAACAAGGGTCGAAATATCACCGACAGTCGGTTCTCCTCGATCTTGGAAACCGGATTTACGGAAGGTTGTGGCGATCGATGGTGGGATCCGCGTTAATATCGAAATTAGATTCCGGACACTCGGCCAGTAAATTCGTTTGCAGAGCCTTGTAGCCGCGTTCTCCGGTTAGCCAGCCGTTAATGAACGGTCGAAACTGTTTCGCCCCCTCCCCCTTCCCCTCCCGGAACTTAACGAAACAAACAACCGCTCGGACAATTATCGCTGTTCGTTTTTCCCCTCCGGTCGATCGACCGTCCAGCCAGGTTTCGCGCGTCCGTTCGTTCCCGATGGATAATTATCCGGGACGGGGTGGATTTAACGAGACGGAAGAAAATCGTTGCTGCCACGGAGCCCCCGTCGATCGCCAGTCTCGTTCGCCTCGGACCACGTTGAATCGAGATACGTTAATGGACACTCTGGGAACCTCTTCCACCAGGATAATAAACTCTCTTTTCCCGGCGTCCTGTTTCATTCAACCCCTTTGCTTTTTACCCCGCCGTTCGTCGTCCCGTCTCTGTCTTTTTCCCCCGTGCCGGAAATCCGGGCGAGCATAAAAATGCAATTAAGGAAACGCCTGGCGTCTGGCAGAGGCTGCATACTTTCGCCCCGGTCCTGAAAGGCGACTTCTTCTTCTTCTTCTTCTTCCTCGTTCATCAACCCCCGTCCTCTAGCCTCTCATTACCCTCCTTTCACTTCTATTTCCTGGACTCCCCTTTGGACTTGTCTAAATTCAGTCCACCGTTCCGGCTGGTTAAACGTCCGCAGACTCGACAGGTAGAACGAGTAAAATGCTTCCGCGGTACCGGAGTTTCCCAAGCTATTCCTCGAGGAATCGAGGAGATTCTTGGCGAAAGGGTTCCACCGACGACCGATTTGCTCGTCGACGGTGTTTCGAGGACACCGTGTTCTTTGAACGGAACGGCTGCCGCGGTAATTACGGAGCAAAGACGTCTGAAACAGTGGTACCGATCGCGTTCCATCAGTGGATGTGTGTTTGCTTCGATTGACACACTTCGCCGGACAGTTTATCGACCCATCACACAGTGTTCCTCAACCTTTATCGGTCCGTGGTTTCAATATTGGCATTATTTACCTCTGCAGCTCTTCAAGCAATTGGCAAATTAATTACGGTGACGTGTCATTCGTTTCAATATTTCGACCGTGTGAATATCTCTTTTAGTAATATGATAATCGAAACAAAATTTCTCTCTTCCAATCTGCCCAAGTTTAAATTACTTCGCAACGTCGTCTTGACACTACTTAAAACTTTGTACCGATCCTCATATTTGTTCATAAGCTCCAAGTTTGGGAGAATACAAACTTTAATTACCGTGTCACCGAAGAAGACTGCTCCTCGCGATCGAAACGTTGAATTTCCTATTATCGCGGTAAATTTTCGAGCAAAAAGATAACGACCGCGACCCAGTGACGTTTGCCCGCGTCCAGGTGGCTTTCGGGTGCAGGGTCGTTGTCAGTGCGGTAAAGTAAGGTAATGAAGCCATCAGCGAACGACAATCCGTCGCGACTGATCGAATTTTCCCGTTCGAAGCGACGCGGAAAAGCGAATTTCCCTTGCCTGCAGGCCCGGGCGCTTTCATCGCGGTGCAACGTTAACTTCGTTTGCGCTGATGCGCCTGAAATGTACGCAGCGTTACGTTGTTAGGCACTTGACGTGCCCGAGTAATTCCATGCTTCCGAGGTAGCTGCGTCGACGTCTCGCCCGCGGAAAATCGATGATCTAATAACGCTCCTGATTATTCGACAACCGGGCCCCGGCAACTCTCGTTTCAACTCCGTGAAATCCTTTCTGGGAACCTTGTTAGATAACTTCGTTCGTTGACGTGTACCGTCGACGTCGAAACACCGGCTCCGGGACGCCCAATCTGTGCCATCAACCATTTACATAAGTTGATTCGGTTAGGGCTGTTACGACGATGGAAAATCCCTGCGTGCACAATTCCTACTTCTTAATCGCTTGCATCGGATTGGAAAATATTCCTCTCGATTCTATTTTAATATTTATTCTAAGAACAGTGAGTTAAATTTTCGTAGACTGTTCACTGAAGTCGGAAGAGGAAACTAGTGATACGCAGTATGTAAGGTGTTATAACCAGACAGAGATGATTCTACGTGCAAAAGTGAGTAGAAAAGGAGGAATAACATTTTTTTGTTCGAGGCTTTATTTTCGAGAAAATCGACGTAGCAAATGGGGTACTCGCATGCAAGTAGAAAAGTAGACGAATGGTCAGACGCGCTAGGCGAAAACGAAGGCTCGAACGAGAAAATGTTATTCCTACTTTCCTACATGTAGAATCGCCCTATTCTCGATGTATGGTATACTGGAAATCACTATACACAGAATGTTTCATTATTAAATGAAACTGTATTGTTACGCACAAGTAGAAAAGCAAACGTATGGTCAGACGCGCCAACAAGGTATCTCGAAAACGATGGCTCGAACGAGAAAATGTTGTTCCTACTTTTCTACTCGTCTCTACATGTAGAATCACCCTACTCCCATTTTATAGTATATTGGAAATCACTATAATCACAGTGTTCCATTATTAAATGAAACTGCATTGTTACACGTATTGTGACGATTCGAAAGTCGATTAAACGCTCTCTGATCTCAATTTCTCTGATAAGAACCTTTCTGGATTCGCTGTAAATTCATCTGTGACAAGGACAGCGTTTGAAATACAAAAGTTTGACAGAAAGATCGTGCAGTCTAGATAGCAAATAAACTAATCGTTCGATTCCTCCTTCCCCCGATTCGTTCACGGTACATTTACGCTGGTCTTTCGCGACAAATATGAAACATACGAACATGGCTGCAACTCGTAAAAGGAAAATGGCGATGTCGCGATTGCCGAACTTCCCTGTCGGAAAGTTTGTCACCGCGTCCGATTTCTCGACGGAATCCGGGGGCAGAAATGTGTTCGGGGGCAGTCCGCGCAATTTCGAGGGTCGACCACTTTGTCAACGGCGAGAAAAGAAGGGTACGTTGACCGAACGGACGGGAGAAAGAAAGGAGAGGACGCGCCGATGCGTCTGGGCACGGAATGCCCTGATATTTCGTCCCACCTACAACCCTGGTTGGATATTAGACGATAAGCCGCGGAAGCGGGGTGGGCCAGAAAGGGTGGCTCGGACGGGAAGCGGTGGAGCAACGATCGCACGGCTCCGAAGATTGAACTCAATCTAAACTTGCGACAAACTTCGCTCGTACTTGCCCCTATCTCTCATACTTCTGTCGAATCTTCTCCCTACAACCCTTAACCTTGTTCCGCTTTGACGGAGCCAGCAGCCCCCGAGGTGGCGACGAGCAGAAAACGGTTACGCAGTTGGCTGGCGACAGGATCGAAACGTGTCTCGATATTATCGATACGCTCGCGTCAGAGATTGATTTTCTTTTGTGCAGGACCGTTTCTGAATTATCGAGACGCGGGACTGTCGCGTATTGTGGGGGATGGAAATCAGCTTGAACGATAAAAATTTTCGGTGTTCGGTAATATTAGGAATTTTAATATTACTATTATCGATGGACGTTTCATCACTTAATAAAAGCAAGTTGAACTGTTTATGAAGTATATTTTATTTTTTTACTAAGGGAGTAAGATTCCTCGTTGAGTAACTTAGCTATTATTCGCGACTTTGAGAAGTTAGAACAGTTAGTTGAACAATAAAACGGACACCAGATGTTACTTATTGCTATAGCTGTGAGATATCTCGACACCATGCTTGGGAGTTGATACATATCGATAGTAATTAGT